CCAAATGACGAGTTTGTGGAACATGGCCTGATGGTTGTTCTTATTGAGTAAAAAACCATGTAAAATCTCGAAAACTCAGAGTAAGGTTTCCGTGTATTACAGATGAGTTCGTGTTTTGGTGGGACAAAACCAATACAAATATTTTTGATTGGTGAAAATAATGACTTGTTTAAGATTTGCCACTTACGAATAAATGTTTTTGAAGGTAAAGCTACAGACCGTTGCACAGGATGATAGCATATATTTTCTAGAAGATATTTGTATCAGAGGATGTACGAAGCAGAGGTTACATGCGGAATTTACGTACAGGCTTACAACTGCCACTCATAACCAAAATTCGGCAAGAATTCTTTGTCATGTGAATCATAAAGGTCCTCAACGGGGTTTAGAATTAATGTATTTTATAAATTAACACCAAGCCTACAGGGAATAACTGTGATTGTCTTCAAAATGAATAATCAACTTGCTTAAGGCTTTCTGTGCCGCGACTTAAAGGGGCTTGTCAAATTTAAGATATTGATATCGACTTTGTGCTGTAATGTCCAAGAAGTTCCAAGAATAGATGGTAGGATTCTGGGTATACAAAGACTCGCCCTCTACTCTTATGTAAGCTACACTTTGTGTCAAGTAGGCAGAGTACTTTACCTCGGGATCCAGAAGAAAATTTCTGTTGATAATTATGATTACTTATCTTCATACATGGTGACTACGAGGGCCTCGTTTTACATTCAAGATAAAATTTTAGCACCTAAGCGAAACCATATGCATTGATGTATTCTTCGTGTTCTGCTTGTAGAAGTTTTGAAAGTAACACAATATCACTGCTTCCATTCATCTCAATATACGTTAAGCTAAAGTGATCACAAAATGGGTAACCAAAACATTTAGCCAAATGTCTGAAAACGTGCTTGTTTGCTTCAGATGGAATCAAACATTTTTGAGACAAAATATTTGTGGTGTCGAATTCACCAAATGTAATGGTTTATCCAAAATACCTTAATTTACAAAAAAACCAGTTTCGAATTATTTCAAAAACATGCCAAAAATAACCCTAATCTAAGTCAGGGTGTTTTTTTATTATTAAGAGAGAGAGAACTATGGCTATAAAATGTCATTATTTGTTGCTATCAAGAGTACAGGATTCATTTAAGCAACATTTAGATAAAATAAAAAAATGATTATGCTTACGACTTCGAGATTCTGGTTTTTAGAGCGTGCTAGCCTAGTACGTGAATCTCATCCATTAAAACTATTTTCAAGCCTGAGTTCCCATCTAGGACGTGCTTGTAATAAACTCTTATCAGCGTTTTGCACCTCAAGTATAACCCACGCATAACCGAATTACTTTGTGTGAGAATTTACTCAAACGTGTTTGACACGACCGACTCAAGCTATCACCCTTACACTTCTACGTACATAAACAATTAGACTGAGTTGCATTAAGCGCCAATAAAATCGTCTCAGAAGGCACAAAACGTTAAAAAATCAATTCAAGATGGGGCTGCTGATCCCATCAATTGTGCGAAAATTTGCAACTCCGATGTACAGTTGTGCTAGGCATAAATTTGTACTGATCCGGTTCAACGTCACCAACACATGTAGCACTAAGTCAAATATGAGAAAGTTTACCTGTTTTGCGGTGCAAAATTATACAATAATAAAGCGTTAATTTTGTCACTAATTAGGTGTAGAAAATCATCTAGTCGCATAGGTGCCTTCCTGATTCTGCAGGAAAACTAATTTATTCCCGTTACTAATTGGAGACGTTGGAAATATATGCAACATCATCGGAACTTTTTCATAACCCTTTGTTAGCTTGAGGCAACAATATGCTATTTAATAAGCCTTAGATGTTGGGTCTACGTCTTTAATGCCGGTTGTTTTGGACAAATACTTGGCAAGAATTTGGAGTAGAATTCCGTGCAAAAGCACAAAAGTAATAAAACTTACTTCAGATCTACCAGTATTTTGCACCTAAAGTTAAGCAGAAGTGGTGGACCTTTAAAATTGTAGAATATCCAAAAGGATTCTGTTATCGGTAGCCAGCGTAACTGCATTCGAAAGTCAATTGCTTTTTAAAGAATTTTCTGACCAGAATTGTTTGGCTTCAATTGGAAGAACCATGGGAAGGCAATTTTGAAGTTGCCTTCTCCTCGGTTGTGGTGACAAGTGACTTCCAACTATCCAAGGTATCACCACCAAACTTTTCCGCTTTATCCTTGATCTGCAGAATGCTGCATAATTCAGTCGAGATCTTTACTAATGCAATACTTACAACCTGCATTCACGAATCTAGCTCAACACTCACTATATGACAAGTTCGTTGGCAGGCGTTCTCCATCACCGCACTATTTACGTGGTAACACATAATAATGTACACCTCCAAATCTCAAAACTCTGACCGCGACAAGGTTACTGTTAGATGTTGCTGTTTACGCTCTACACGCGAGTACATTCGCCATTTGAGTGTATGGTCAATTTACAGTGAAAGTTTGACCAGTAGTTGCTTTTGACCCATTGAAATATTTCCATTAAAAAGAAATCAAATTTCAAGTAATGCGATCTGACTTCAATCTGACCCATAAAGGCCTATCACATCTCAGTTTCTTCAAGTAACAGGTTTAAATGTAAGCATTTAAGAGCAACAAATTGAAAAAAAGATCAGATGCGAGAGTGGTTTGCAACTGGAACAAGACCCTCTTGTATGAATGTCACCCCACATCTATTACTGAACCTGAAACGAGCCATAATCATCACCATCATCATGTGTGGCTTTGTAACCCACGTGGCTAGGCTTACGTGCCAACATACGCCCCACTGTAGGCGTGTTAATTGACGGTACACTCGCAGTTGCATTTATTGCGTCACTGTTCAGACGTCCACGTATTCGAGCTCTGACGTTTCAAAGTTTGGGTCAGAGTGTGGCCTTGTTTCATCACTTTGAAAATGTTTCATCATATTTTTAACAGAAATTTGCAGACCTTGTCAAGTGGAAGCAGAGTTTACCATCTCCAAGCAAAGTTGAATGAGAAAAGTGCAAGCAAAGAGTTTATTTAGGGTGTAACGGAGCCGAAAACTTTGCTTAAATGTGAAGTGATTTGTATTTGATGTTAGTTAGAAAAGTTATAGTGCCCATAAGAAACTAACGCGAAATCATCAGCGCTTGCCTTTTTATTAATGGATTGGGCGAGTATTCAAAGTAGACTCATTGCTTATTATAAAAACATTGACCTCAAGTTTTAGATGATGTACCTTGCGTACAGTAATTTGGTGAGTGACTCACTGAAGATATTGCACAGACATAAGTTACTGTCTTGTGCAATGAGTGTCATCCAAGAATATCAGCGTGCTTGATTGCACAGACAGGTCCTGGGCACAGTGGCAATGAGCAAGCATTAGCGCTGTCTTGAAAATGCCAAAAGTGGCAGACTTGCAAATCTGGGTACCCTTTCCCCCCAAAGTGGTGCTAAGTTATGGCTAAAATATCTTTAGTTACAGTGAACTTAATTTAGATTGTTCTTGATTCATTAAACAAAGCGTCGAGAAGTACAGGGAGGAAGTAGAACAGATCTTCGTCAGAGTTAGCTAAGCATAATTGAAATTTTTTATTGATCTTATGTGTTAAAGTAAATTTAGTCAAAAGAAAGTTACTTTTGCTCTCGAAGATAATCAACAATAATTCGGTTCACCGAATTCTTTTCCCATAACTCAGCTGCAAAGGTGTGGACCATCACCTGAGCAAGACTGATGTCAGAATTGCCCCTGTGGTGGTGATAGCCTTGCCATAACTGGTATATGCTGTCGTCTGAAAAATTGGCCACAAGAATTAAATGAATGCCCCGATAAAATGTTCAGAATATGGGTATCGCCAACAACGGTCCGATTTCTAGTTGTGATCATTTGAAAACCATGTCAGCCTAAGCGGGCATCAAATTGTGCCACTGAGCCCTTACTTTCATTTCACTTCACTACTGTCGTTGATCTCGTTGGCATTAAAAACGCACCCACCGTGCAGATTGGTAGAGCTCGCACTCCTGATTATCCCCATTTAAACAATCAAGTGGGGAATTGTATCCAAGTATCCCCTTGCGTATATTGTTGCTGATGAACTGATGCAAGATCAAGCAGACCATATTACCGCCCACCTAAGTCATGCTCTATTTTAGCCTTAATTGCTCTCTTAAGTATGTTACCATTTAGAGCAAATTCAGGTTAGATAATTAGCAAATTCAACCACAAACGCATTTGGGGAGCCTAACAGAACATTATAACTCGTCTCCAAATTATATTTTTAATCGAAAGGTCAGCTACAAGGTCCAGAACCATAGTTTTCTAGGCGAAGAAAAGTGAACCAGATTTGCACCAAAAGTCACCGCAAAGTACGTTAAGCTTGGTTTAGAATAGCGAAATGGAAAATCTAATCACGGACCGGGTCATCCTCGGCATCTACCAATTATAATGGTTGAGTGGTGCTTTCATACGACTAACCGCACATCTGCAGCATGTGACCGGATTCGGTGGGCTGTATTCCTCGTAGATAGAGAAAATTTTCAATCTGTCCAGATAGATGCGCAGATACTTGTTTAAATCACGTGCTGAAAAGCCAAAATTATGCGCCGGCCAAGGCATCTCTAGCTACATTCTGAACCGATGGAAATTTGGCATACCCGCATAGCACAAGAACTTTGTTGCATTCCCCCCAGTTCCATAGTATAATTAAAACGAGACGAACTAGCATCATTGTGAGCATGCACATCTCTACAGGCTAATGCTACTGGCGAAGACCTGAGAGAATGCAAAATCTTTAAAGTATGAAGAAATCTGGATTATATGGACATCACAGCCAAGGTTGATATGAGCACGTGAGAGTGTGAGAGTGGGTTCCAAGGCGTGTCGAAGATGGGGGGGGGCGTGTGGTCGGCATGTGTCAGAATGGGTCGCCAAACAGAAAAGAAAGAAAGATCGCACGACGTAACTCAGAGCTCCTTCCTTCTATCCACCTACTTCTTGTCGAAAACTCCTGACTGCCAGAGGATGATGAGAAGGATACTGAGGACAATGGCGAAAATCGCACCAAAAAGGATAATCCGCATGCGGCAGTTTTCCCAAAAAGTTTTTTCCTTTACTCGCCGTGCGGTACTTTCAAACATATGCGCCTGAAACATTTGCGTAATAAACAGTACTATGTGAAGTAGCAGATGGCTGAATTAAAGATTTAACACAAAAATGATCAGATGTGAAATGAATGGATACTTTTACAACGATCATTTTAAAACGCGCTTGCGAATTCCATGAAATGCACAGAAGGATCGCAATTTTTAGTACAGGACATCACTTAAAAGTGTCCCCAAAATACAAAATAGGCATGTATCTGATTGTCTAAAATATATGCAAGAATATTATCTAATGCAATGCTTGCTGCAATCATAGTTTTTAATGAATTATAAGTAATAAAACATCAACTGTAGAGCCTTGAGAACGGAGGCCAAATCGCTTAGACACAAGGAACACTAGTGGTTTTGCTCTGTGTTCGCACGACAGTACATAGTATTATTATGCTTTGTTCGTGGTTACATTCAAATCGGGATCACATGACTTATAGGTGCGCAGAAAATCCAATAAGCTTGAATCAGAGCAACTGTAAGGAAAACCGAGACAAAGCCACCCCACATGATTAGTCGCGATTCTCGAAGATAAAGAATAAATTTTAAGGTATAACGTAAAATGTAATTCTTGAGGCTCTGCCAAGGAATTAACTTACGTCAGCTTCAAATTGTTCGGTTTTGTCAAAAAGTTCATTTAGTTTTGTTCCACGTTCGTTAAGATCACTGATATTTTGCTGCATCAATAATGAAACGTCCGCCACTTGACCCTGTAATTGCATTAGCTTATTCCTGTCCTGGCTGGAGAAATTTGCCTAAATGCGTAACAGAAAGTGTAAGAAAAGTGGAATAGGAAATGCAAAATTTAAAATTATAAAGAAACCGGTTTGGATAAATTTTATCTAGATTTGGTGTAAGTTGTCCCTCTCAAAATTGGTAGATGCAAAGAATCAAGTAACTAATTTGGCAAAATCTAAGAATGACTGATATCTATTAACTTTTATTGATGGTCGTAAAGTGTTGAGACATTATATTCCTCAGAGCTTCATACAATTGTTTGATACATACCCCAAATGAACGTTAGACTTATAAAGAAAACTTAAATAAGCTTCGATAATAAGAAATATAACATTTAGTAAAAAAAGAGGTAGACTCAGCAAAAAATTCTGCTTTATTATCCCATCAGAATACTCAATAACATGCAGTTATAATACAAAAACATAAAACGTATCGCTGTAATCAACAAAGCATTGATCGCACTAGTGTTTTTTAAACACAACAAGCAAGTATCATAAACAACTTTGAAGCATATTATGCCAAACGTCTGTGGTAAATATTTCTATCTAACATAGAATCTGGCATAGCAAATGCTAGTTATTTCTGAAATAGGGAACACTCACCATTTCTTCTGAAAGAATCCGACCTAGATCAACTTGGTGACAATGCTCGGAGCCAGACTGAGCCTCAAGCACCCTTGATGGATCAGCAACAAATAACCGCTCAAGCTTAAAAAGAAATCTGCATTTAGAATCATTGTCAAAGATATAAAGGAATAAATGTTGAGGTTCACAAGCCACAAATACAACGAAACGAAAGAGCGGCCAGCGAGATCACAGAAATTATCGGCTAGTTTCAATTATCTTGTGCAAATAAATATTTAATACTTAAAAAAACAATAAAACTGCATTGTTTAAAGACCTTATAAGATGTTCATTAGACACGACATTGGGTATTGCCGTTAGGGGATAAAACGAGAAAATGCGAATTGGAGGATGGAAAAAATATTAGCTCATGGGATTTGTTATTATTTTTAGTTTACACACAATAAGGTACAAAGATATGCCTAGTTTATTAAAATCTGGTTTGAGGGGTGGACAAAACAAGTAGAACCTCGTAATACAAAAAACAGTACCTTTCTCAGGAAATTGAGCGTTTGCTGTTGCGATACCGCTGCATCAGTTACGGCAATATAAGCGATTCCATTTCGATTATAGCAGTTAAAAGTATATCTTGAAAAAAAATGCAATTTTAAATCTAACTATTACCCCCCCATAGCAAATGTCACATATTCTTGAACGGAAGTATCCAAGTGCGGACGGATCTGCTGACTAAAATCTATTCTCCCAACATTTTGTTCACAGAGCACCCGTCGACCACAAGCAATTGCAGCGTACAGAATGCTCATTGCGGTAAGAAATCAAAAACAATCCTCAACACTTCCGAATCCTGTGATGTTTAAAAACGAATGATTTATATGACAGGCTTAAACAAAGATGTTCAAGGTGGCATATTTAATTAATAAATGTTCGTTTTATAGACACGTAACCAAAAGGGACGTTTCAATTTTTACACCCTGTTTGGATTAAAAAAATTAAGATTTTTTTAAGTAACTGGATTTTTCTTAAGTGTTTAAAGAAATGACGTGAAAATAGTCCTCTCCAAGATTCGACCTCATTCACCGATACATTTATAAGTAAGCAAATTTTAGCAAAACCATGTATTATTGCAGAATAATTCATACTAAGGGGCGTTTAAAAAAATGCTTTTCACGAGTCTGCAGGGCCGTTTTCTGATAATTTGTTGTAGTGTACTGCTATCAGTCAACAAGGAACGGAAGGGTGTTCGAATAGATTTAATGACTCAGCCTTATAATTTATCAGTCAGTTAGCATTAACCCGCCACAGATACCCTTTCTGATGCAAACACAATGTCATATCATGCTATTGGATAAATAGCAAATTGTGTCCACGTCATTATGTCGGCACCTCACCTCTTCAACTTGACCCTTCATAGCTGCAGAGTGCATATTATAACGAAACAGGTTATTGCTGCATTCTTTAAACTCCGTGTAGATTTCAAAATTGCAGAGCCTTTCTTTTTTCCCATGATTGAGTTACCTTGATATTTAGTTCAATCTAGTTATAAATTATCAAGTCAAAACTTGACTTCCTATATCTCACATTTAATAATGCCGAAATTGTTGGTCCATTTAGGAATTCAGCCCTACTGATGGACATGTAGTTTTATGTGATAAATAAACTCATTCAATTTGCTCTCAATAATGTTGTAAAATACGTTAACTCAATTCATGGCAATCCATGCATATCAAAGATCTTTAAATGCACTAATCAATTACTTTTCTTACTACAAGAAAATAAGGATAATTAAACTAGCTATTTTATCATATCCTGACGAATTTCAATGATATAAACATTCTTTCTAAGGGAGCACAAATGTGTAAGAAATTAATTACGGCATGTTACAAAAATGTACCATATCTAATAAAATGTTGGAGATCATCAACACAGTTAATGGCTTTACTCTCCATTGACATTTGTGCTTCTTACGTAATCGTATTCAGTCCTCCGGACATTATTTGATTGTCGCAATTCATCATGTTTAAGGCATAAATTTAAAAGCTATAGCGTTGGTTATAACTAACAGAGAATTGTAACTTTGATTGTGAATTCAAAATTGTCAAGAAATTTTAACGCATTCATTGAACGCTTTAATATCCTACTGGCGATCGTTCATGTTCTCATCTCAATGACTTTCAGAGTTCAAAAAAATGTGCGCAGAAGCACGAAACCCAACACTCGATTAACCTCGATAATTAATGAAATGCAATAACTCGCGTTTGCTGGATGAACCTTATCTGCACGGTTTAATGAAAAATCATATGTCTCTTAGGCTCTAATTGTGAAATCATTACCACGACCACTAAATTGGGGCAAATATTAAATGAAGATTTAAGATTTGGAATGGTATTGTTAAAACTGCTTTTTTGCGCTTATTATTAGAACTAGGTTGTATTATCGACCATAGGTAGTGCTGACCGTCATTCCCCGCATTGCCTTTTTAGTCTTTAGCGTTCCCTACGCGTCACGTCTAAGTTGATTAACTTCACAAGTAAGGCCTTCTACTAAAACGTACATCGTTGCTCTCTCTAACCTTTTTGCATAATTTTTTTCCTTTATTTGTCAGGGCAATGTATCCCTATGTTTGATGCATGGTTTGTCCATAATTTGTTTTATAAATTAAGCTATAAAAAGTGATCCCATGTGCCTCATTTAGCTACAAACAAATCGCACTGTATCAAATCTTCATTTGCTTAGCCACAAGGTCTGATATTTGTTGAAGTTCACTAATTGTAAATAGTTGGCAGTGTGAAGAATTTGCACAAATTTTACCTTGACATCCTGTCTCTAACTAGCTAGCTATTTGACGCCAGGACTTTGGTGATCATGCCGCCAGTTGTTACTGGCAATAGTAAGATTATTTGCTTATTTCGTCAAACTTACCTATACCAAAACAGTACTTTCCATATCAACTAACGTTTGTCGTTTTTTCTTCTGATTTTGAAACAGAGGCGAAAACGCCAGCGACATGGCTATTTGCCGTAATTTTGCAGTAATTTGGCAAATTGAGGTGGATAACAAATGGCCTTACTTAAATGGATGTAAATTTTCCATTGAAGATGTGCAACTGGCTTTTTTAAAAGTAGAGCATTTTTAATAAAGTATGCTATTTCCTGCTTGCCAGAATTTTCCTGACTTACTACAATAAATGTGACCTGCGTTGGGTTTGTAATTACAAAATCATTAAAAGTTATTCCTTGCAAAAGCTGTAAACAACATGAAAGGACAATTCTAGTAGACATAAATTTACTTATTAATATTCCATCTGTATAAATTTTCCCCGCATAAATGGTACCTTAGAGAAGTGCCATGGCCAGGGCACAAATTGAAAATGAACCCTTTCCCTTGATTAATCTTGATCTGAATTACTCATTGCCGGGGAGCCTTTCAGTTTCTCCCTGAGGCCTTCAACATCAGACAGAAGCGTCTTAATAGTCCCAGTGGTCTAAAAGAAGACATGAGGGATTAGGGGATATGCATAAGGATACTGCTTAAAGGTGAATGTTAATGAAGATGAAGGTCTTGAGCAATTAAATGTCGATCGACACTTAAGAAAAGTAGCTCTAAAACCTGTAGTAGCACTTTCTCTGCCTCAATGAACACTGCCTGTCAGCACTGACCGATACCATTTCAACAGGCCCAAAGTCAACATATTTTCGTCGTCTGATCAACGGAACAAGGTAGGCGTCTGCAAAAGTCGCCTATGTACGCATTGAGAAAAAAAATTAATTTTAAGAGGGATGAACTCGTGAATGCGTAACGAAAGTTGGGAAGGGAAGCTTGGGTAAAGAATAAATGCATTTCAACCACGTGCATTTACCTCTTCTTCAACCTTCTCCAGCTTTAATAAAAGCGCGGTTTTGACCGCTTGTACTGCATTTGCAATGTTTTTAAGATTTTCTTGTACTTCCTGAAAACAACAAAAAAAATTTTATGATGTTATTTTAAATGCAAAATCGATTAATGTGAATCACCAAAGAACGAATATTACCCAACTATTTTATCCACCGTTATACTATTGAACTATGAAACCAGATTAATGCTATGTCTGGTATGCAATTTAAGTTCAATATTATTTGCTGAAATACTACACCGCATGCTTTTATATTCGGAGCATTTCAGACATTTTGTAAGTCTGCCACGAAGCGTTGCTCCTTCTAAAGCGTGAAGAAGTGTTGCTAGGATGAAAATTATTAACGAACTCTTTTGGTGTTTAATAAGCAGACGTGGGAACTGTAATTGACTATACGCTAAAAACTAAATGACAAGTTAGAGTCAACGATTTACGATCTTACCTCGGACCCCGCCAATCCCTTTTTCTGTAGTTCAATCACATCGAGTTCTAATTCACGGATTTTTTCCGATCTGCTAAAGAGATACCATAAGTTGCCGCATGAAACGATCCAAAACTCATCCCCGTTTTATGAAAGTGATGCAAAAATGACAGATTGTAAATCAGAGTCAGAGATACACATTTCAAATTAAATCAGTAGAATTGGATGGCGTGCTTGCTCACATTTGCGCTGTTCCATCAGCAGGAGGCTGTTCTTCACGAAATTTTCGCAACTAAAATAAACAAACCGAATGCCATTAGACTCTTACCTCAAACTTATGTATAGAAACCTGCGAATCGACACAAGACTCAAGATGTGTCAGTATTTTGGGGTGATTGCTACAACACGGATGAAATTGATTGAAGAACGAAGACATCCGGGAGCATGCGGATGCATTTGCCGACCCATTCTCAGTGGGCGGTGGTCTTTCCTACGCCTGGCAGTCAGTCGCGTATTGGGGTGCTCACCTTCAGGTTCTTCCGGCAGAGTGGAGCAGTAACAATTTTCAATGTGCACAAAGTGACAAAGCTTTAGGACTCCGTTGCTATGACTTCAGAGGAGGTATTTACAATTGGGGTAGGGAACAATAACTCAAGTAAGCGTGGCTAAAAATAATTAGTAAATTCAGAAAAGTTTAAAACAAATAGGCACGGCTATACGGTGACAATAACAATATTTTCCACTAAAAACGAATCGATAAAAAGAATAGAACGAGAAACGTTGAAAATGTGCCACAGGAATAAGTATTGTTTTTTCTCTGATTCAGTTGGAATGATTAAGGTGTGTGCTTAAGTTAATGTGTTACAGGCAACCTAAAGTATTCTTTGGACTAAATACATGTGCATCTGTTCAAGAATATTTGAATTAAGCAAAATTAAACAACTTTTTTTCTTATTTGTTTTCGTCTGTGCAACTTAAATCCAACTTCTGTTTTATTGTAATGGAGAGAGACTTACAGGAGAGTTCGAAATGAAATGTATCAGAGGACGCTTTTGACGATAACTACCTCCATTGGTGAAGGTAAGTTAATCTCAGAGATAGATTGACCAACTTACTAGTCACTTTCCAAGGTCAAAGTAAACTTCCTGTGTCAAAATGAAGGCTTCCCAAAGTTCGAATTTTTTAGGGCACTTGCGATGCGCTTATTGGTATTCAAAATCCTATTAGATTAAGATTACGCAATTCCTGAGTTAAATTGGTCACTGAAACATAATCTGAATGAATGAACGTGATGAGTTGGGCACACACGAGGAAACGTTTGACGTGAAAAAAAGGGAACAACATTTACGCCTAGCAATATAACGAGACGGTTAGCAAAGTGGAGCGGTAAGATCGAGAAAATGCTCAAGCTGTATGTCAGCTAAAAGTCTGGCCACGTTGAGTTAGTTAAAATTCTCATACAAAAACACAGCACTTTTTTTCCACACATGCTTTTACAGCTCAATGGTAGCAGGAAAAATGTTTGGATTGTCAGCCTCTACTGAACAAGTAAATTGTTACTGCAAGAGCTTACGTCTTCGTCAAGCCGGTTCGTCTTTGCGTTGAGGTCGTCCATTCCAGAGTTGAGCCTTGAGACTGCATCGCAGACCTTCACATCAAGCTCCTGGAGCCTCGATTGCATTGAATAAATATTTGAGGTTCTTAAAATAAAACCCTCATCACTTGTATCGACTAAATTGAAATACTTTGAAAGAGCAGAAGCCTCACCTAGCCTTTATTTCAGCTGCAACCACACCCTTCAAATGCTCCTTCTCGTCTGACAAACCCTGCTCCAGAACCTCCACAGCCAAATCCAGTTGAGACAAAGAGTTGAGCAGTTTCTTCTGATGGACCTTTTGGTGCATAATATGAAGGTCTCCGGTCATAATTGGCACTTTTAATGACATTGGTACTCAACCTAAATTTCTGGACATGAAACTCAACTAGCCAAAACTCGCCTCTTCAAAAAAAGGAAAAATTTTTAACCGAAAATACTTAATTTATCTCTTACAAAAATTACAGTTTTTTAAAGATTAAACTGCTTCCCGCAGGTTCTTTAACTCAGTATTTTTGCTAGTTTTGTGTCAAAGTAAAAGTCGAAAGAGGCAATTTAGAACGCATAATTGAAAGCACAATTAGCATATGTGGAAATTCATGGAGTGAAGATCTTTGATAAAAAACACACGAAAAAATAACTGTAGGGATTTTGCGAAGTGACCGTAACTGAGCGAAACCTCTTGTGTGGAGAATTGGGTGCCATAATTACAAAATAGGAACTAGCGTCAAAGTAATGCAACGTAACTGTGCTTGTGGCTTTCCGAAATTTGGAGCAAATTTCATAGTTCGGGGATTTTAATTTGGGACTGAACAAGCTGGGTATGCGTCTGCGAACAAGCTAGGCATGTGGGTGTTTTGCTCCGTTATGAACCAGCTTAGGAATGTTACGCTCATTATTTGAATACACCGGGACTTTTCTTAATTTGCCACTTTTTTCCTATAATTTAAAAAAAAATAAAGTTAAAATTTAATACCTGCTGATCTTCACGAAGTTCAGTGATTTCATTAGGGATATCTTGTTCAAATTTTTTGATTTTAAGCTCAAGCTCCGCCAGTTTGGACTCACACGGAGAAATCGCGGTGTTGAAGGCGCTCAGAGTCTGCATGAATAACCGAAACATGCGATTTTGAAGGAAAACGAAAAGAATATTATTTTGGCTGTTCAACTCACTGTTTCGATTTCCGTTCGCAAATTTGACATTTTCTCCTCCATCTTGTTAAAAGCCGTTGTAACTCGCAGGTCCAATTTGTCCGATATTTCTCCATATTTTGAACGCATATCTTGTCTATATAACATGGTATTATGTTTAACTTTAAGACTTTGAGCATGAAATTAGCAAAATACGCTGCCCTTGGCGTCTACGTCGTCTGGCTTTCAAGAAAGTCAGTTATTTTGTTTTTAGGGATTAAAGGCATCCCTTAGTCAGTGTGTACAAATCACTGTGTTAGCTACCACCTAAGAAGTCAATCCTTTAGCCCAATCAGGAGAGATATTTTTGACGCATACATGAAGGTTTAACTCAATATTTCTGCAAAGGCAGTGCCCACGGTTATTTCAAGTAACTGCCTCACGTAAACTTGGGATGCACAATTCTATACTTCCACTTTCGACGTCCTAGTAACAAGCTCCCGTATACACGACAGACAACCTAACTGAGCTCGGAGTCAAACCTCACTAAGAGTATATAAGGTACGTTAAATCCCTCAAGATGGACTGGACCCTAGCAAACTCATATTTCTTCGAATTAATGGAAATATGTAATAATTACCAAATTGGCTGTCAAAACGATACAAAGGAACACTATTAATTTACCTGAGGGAATCGAGATCCTGAGAGTTATGATGAAGCATTGCTTTTAATTCAGTGACTGTATCTTTTATAGTCTTCTCGATTTCCGAAGATCTATTGGTCTGTTCTAATAGACTAATAAACACAATATCGTAAATCTTTAAATGAATAGTTACAATATCGTCTACAGTACACGTCTTGTGTAATGAAATGATATGGAAATGTACCTGGTGTTTACAGTGTTTTCAAATTTTAGGCGATTGCTAGCATCTTGCTCAGTTTTGTTCTGAAGCTGTGTCACGGTGACTTGGAGTTGTTCTAATGCATTGTTCATTATAGAGTTTTGAATAAGCTGATTTTTCTGGGAATAATTTCCTGGAATTTCCGTTTGAATAGACCGCATTTCTGTACGTAAGATGTTCTCAAACTTATTGTCAAAGTTTTTTAATTCCTGATAGAGGTTTTGAATGTCCAGGCTCTGGCTACCACACCGTGAACTAATGGTTTGTAGATCAGCGGTGAGCTTTTGAATAGCTTTGTCAGTGGCGATTAAACGATCGGAAACGCCCGTCACTTCGCCTGAAGCCCTACAAGTTGCAAGAAAACCAAATTTCAAGCGTGATTTCGTAGATCGGTTACTTAGAAGTGGATCACAAATGCTTGCTTTAACACAATTTAGGTTTTGTCCGTATTTCCGTAAATGAGTCTACATTTGTTAATAACTGGACGCTCTGAGGTCTCACGGTAGATCTGTTTGTATACGCAAAAAAGGTAATTTATAATATTTGAATTGCAGCACAAAATCCATCATTACAGTTCCATGCAACGTATTGCCCAAAGGTGCATTTGGTGTTAATATATTAAAGGGAAACCAAGGTGGAGGCCAGGTCAGGAGAATATAGAAGTAGTCATCTGCGCAGATATATTTCCAAACGAAAACACCTTATTACTTTTGAACATTATCCAAACAGCCACCTTGAAGATCACCGAGACCGGGAAGTTTACTTGCTCGACTCAGCTGGTCTCTGTAATGCCAATGAACAGGCTAACTATCTTTCACTTGCATGCTATTAACCATGTAAGGGCAATTAGACTAGTACAATATTTGCTGTAACTGGGGCTCTGTTATGTGCATATGCTAAGATATAGATAGCTTCTACCAAAACAGGCCAGATAGTACTGAACATTTACCCTAAAAAATTAGGCCCTTTTCGAAATATGTGTCGCATCTAGCATTTGATAACTGTATAATTGTAGTCAAAATTTTTGCTGAAAAGTGAAACTGTTTTTATCCCAGCATTTCAGTAAATATTATTAAAAGTGGCAGATCTAAGGGCTTTATCTTTCCAAAATACGAGCAAAATCACACTTATAGACACATGATCACATTGTCTAAATCGACAATTTTAGAAAAAATAAGTTAGGATTTAGTCCGATGACTTCGGATTTTGAATTAGCTTGGTACTGTATTTAAAAAAGCCACCCATATAGAGTTACTGCTGCTTTACTTGCGGTTGAGGAATTATATTCATACTCTACTTCGAGAATTTCAGTGGGCCATCTGGTGTTGAATACCATAAAAATGTTTTCGTCAAACATCGTACAGTCCTTCCAGTAGTCCTCCAGGATACATTTCTGGTCCAAAATACCTGTAATTCTGATAGAAATTGCCTTACTTTGCCAGCCAGTGCTAATTATAAGCCAATTTGCATTTCCACCAACGACGAACAAAAGGTCGCTGGAAGACGCACAAAAAACCAAGGTATACAATCACATAAAAATTCTTCATTTTATACTCACAAGTGATAGCTGGAATTAGGACAATGGCTACTTTTTGAAACTCACGCTCTTTTGCTTGATTTTAAATGAAATTGGTGTGGTGAAGGTGTTTGAACCATTGAGTCATCTGAGTCCAAGCTGGTACTGTAGAGGTTCTTTGGTTGGCACTTTTGGTCAAATTCTAGTAAAAGAAGGTAAACAGAAAATCATTTCGACAAGTTCTGTTTTTATTTCTGGAAAAAATTATAAATACAGAACAAGGAAATTACCCCAGAACTTGTGAAGCTTCGGACACAACGGAAAGGAAATGAAAATTTCATGTTTGAATTAAACTAAGATACACCCAGTAGGCTCTCGCATAACTAAGTTTCTACTTAGGAAGAAAAGCAACGTCTAACCTTACTACCACGTGAACGGGCATGTTTTGCTGCATAAATAAAACGGTGTATTACATCAGAGAAATATTTAGTCTAGCAAAACGTAAGATTATGTGTATTCAATGTTCCGTTGCTGAATGATCAAACCCACCTTTATTCGTGGTATGGACCGACGCATCGTTAAATGAGCATCTGTTTTGCTCTAATAATCGCTTCAAACCAGAGATATCAAGAAGTATCTGTCGGTTGACTCTTTCTGTTGCTGAGACGCGACCTTCAAGTTCAACTAAATTCATTGATTTCCGTTTATGTATTGGTGCTGGGGAGTTCACTAAAGTGGGCCAGCTTTGATCTTTTGTTCGGGTGGTACTCACTTGATCCTGTCCTGACGTTCTTTTCATAAGTTCGTGCACTGTTGCTATAAGATAATTTATAGTAGAAAATTACCTTCATATCCTCAATGCTTTTGTGAAACATTTAATGCATACAGATCTTAAAATAGGACGTAAATGTCTTAATTTTAGGAACAGTCTGACCAAAAATATTCTACTGCCTTTAATCTGCTACAGATGATTATTTCTTATTTCTGTGCAAGGCGTTCCAATACGGGTCTAAGCAACATGAATGTATTCGAAAGATATAAAAACAATGAACTTTTAACTAATTCTGATGACAGGCATATCTGTCGATAAACAGACAACATACTCATTAACTACAATAAAAGATTTATGTGAGAAAAGTGGCACAATATCGCATCATTAATAAAAAACTGTACAAAAACTTGCAGTAAAGCGGTTTAAGTGAATCAGAATGCAGGACGGTTAAATAAAAGGACATGGTGGGCCACTAATGTGACGACTATTTAAACTCTACAATGCCTTGCAAGATTCAAATATCGGTCAAAAATAACAACGGGGCAAGGCACTGTGCGTTTTGCCAAGCTGCGTTAAAAACGCCGTCGTATGACAAAAACGCTCAAAATGAGAGTTTTTCATAACTTTCACTATTTGAATAAGTGTAAAAAATAATGATCACTAAGACGTAAAAGGGAACAGTAAAACTAAAATGCAATATATATGGCATTAACCAGCAGCTTTTGAATCGCATTGGATTACAACTATTTATGCATGTGATTACAACAGAAAATCACGCGGCTCATTTGGATCCACATTTATGAAAACGCAATTAAATTTGATCTTCACGCGTCGCCCGATACACTTGTTTAAAGGTTAATTAATTGACACAGCAAACAATACTTAGCAACCTCAAAAAACCACGATCAAAAGAGATTTCCTATTAGAAGCAGAAGTAGTAGTAGATGCCATTGTTGTTATTGGGTAAGTGAGTGAAAATCTAGTTGTAGTAAAATATCTGTGATTTTGCCACGATCAGACAGAAGAAAAAACCAGAAAAAACATATAACACGCGCCTAAAAGTTATATATTATTGTTATCAAAATTTCACTTAAAACAAACCAAATTTTGAAAATAATTACAAAAACAAGAACCAGACAGAAATTTCCCTAAAAGCGATGTAGTAAAGAAGTTTTGTATAAAATGTTAATATACCTAAAGTAGGAAACACCAACCTCGAAATTAGTATATATTACTTTTTAAATATTGCTGCGTTGTACATCGATTAAAACGCATTGTCAAGGCTGAAATTATAAATAAACATTTTTGTATAAACTTTTTAACTAGAGGCACATAAAAAAAAATAATTTTAAAGGCACTAGTGTAGTGTTAAATCACACGGCAGTAACACCATGAATGTTAATTCTTAATGTTTGGCATTTTAAAAACTAAACATGCAATGCAGTTCCAAAGAATATTTCTGAAATTATAAAATCTGCTACGCATTTAGGCTTAAAAATATTGAATTTAAAGGAGACATAAACTAAATAAAGACGTTTCAGGGGTTTAACGAATAAAAGCTTAGTGTTATGAGGTCGTTAACTTCCTATGTACGATGGCTGTCAGACTTCACTACCGCTTAATTTTATTATACACTGGAGAAGCGTAGAAAGCTAATGCCAAATGTGGCACCTTTTCCTTCTCCATTCCGTATTAGTAGATCAAAGTTATATTTTAGGGTAAACAATTTTGTTATGAACTAGGAATTTAAACTAATGAAATGAATTTTGAAAATGAAAGCTTTAGAATGGTTAATATGGAGGTGTAGTGACGTACTTGAGCGCAGTCTTATTGGATAACATCAACCTAAGACAATCGTTCGTGTTTTTTGCGAAAATGATTTTTAGTAAACGAGAGACTGGTGTCGTATGAAAGGAGATGCAAATGCTTGATTATTGTTTGCTAAATATTTATTGGTAGATTTTTTCATAAGAATTCTATTGGTTCTAACATCTGAAATTGTTTTAGAGACACATTTAACACACTTTCATATGTGAATTTGCTCTTTAGAGGCATCAAACTACATTCTCTATGTATTCTTTTGTAGAAATTAGCATCAATCATATAATGCATAAGTTAAACATGATTCCTTGCAATGAATAAAATCAGGTTATTGTGAAAGTGGCTGATTTTCCAAACGCAGCAAATTTTTTGAAAGTGACATTGTAGACGTGTTAGTTACTCTTATATGTTGAAAATTTATTTGCAAACTTATAATTTCTTTAAAATCCATTCTCCCAAAGTATTTCCCTCATTTTGATGCGTCATGATTTTAAGGGTGTTCTCCTGAAGTGTTTTTTTTACTCGAATCACTATATGAATCTGACCATTTTTTAAACAATTGTTCCTCTTTTTACAAAATAATCTTTTAGTTTTACAATTTGAATAAAAAATGCAGCAAAATAGCCTTACACTTGCTTGTTACATTATTCGTTCAAACATAAATTCGCATTGCACTTTGAGCGTCCCTTAGGCTGAATAAAGTATTTTAGGCCAATGTGAGCTTTACTACTATTAGCACAAACTATTTTGGCTCAAAATAAAAAAATCCACGGCAACAATATATTTTTACTTAATTTAATTAGTATATGTTGGGCTATCCAAGTAATTTTAATTTATCACTTCAAAAACACCGAAATATGCAATAATACACAGCGTATATATTATTTAATGTATGCATTAAGACGTTTTCTTTTAACAATCATTCTAATCCTTTCACATTTCGTAATTAAGGTTTTCAATTTTAATTAGAGTAATGTAGCCAACTAGACACCTTGACCCACCGGATCACAATGGATAGTGAGACTGAATCTGGTCGTGACAAAGTAGTATTTTGTAGTAAGTGAAGCCTGTATTTGTCATTTTTAAGATAATGATCAATCATCATCACTGGCTGTTCGGGATTATGCTCGGCAACTCAGTGAACGCAAACGCCTCGAAGAAGAAAGAAGAAAGGAAGATAGATTTTTGCGCCGATCTTTAAGGCAGTCTGAAAAGTTACGTGCATTAGCTCGCGCTCAAAAAGTCGCAAAATATTACAAACAAGTCAGTGCGGCTGCACAAAATTTGGCTTTTGATGGGGCTGAAGGCTTGAAGCATGGTTTGTTTCCTTATATCTGTGTTTTTTAAGCAAATAGTGTAACTAAGACTTTATAAACTAGACTCTGGGTACAAATTGGATGAGTTTGGCTACGGAGGTTTTATTGAAGGTCTCAGGCACAAGTTGGTCGAACAAAAAGAGGAAGGAGAGTCCTCGGATATCGACGAACTCGGCGACGACGAATGGGATTGGCTCGCGAAAAAGGTTTCAGACAAGTCTGTTCTTCAGGCTTTCAATCTTCACGACACCATTGCAACCGTTTTGGAGCGTACACGCGTCAAGATGGGTGGTGCACCTATGAATACTTGGGCTGGAAACGTTGCAGCAATTCCTGTGGTCAACGCGGTTACTTCGGAACTTAAGGGAATTCCTGCAACAAACCGAGTAGCAGAGATGAATGAACTTCTTGAACTGCTAAATAAACCAGAAATCAGGGTACATTAAATTACTTCTTACGTTGCTAAATTTTTTGCACCTGCTGGGGGATGACAACTGGGACTAGGATTTTTTTATTTTTACACGTCACATTTTTGATTTTTTTTCATAATGTAAACGTTAGAAGTGATTTTAAAGTATAGGTAAACTAAATTGTGCAAGTAATCGTCGCATGCTTATAAAACTCAGGTTGTCAGAAGGCCGCTGCCTTTATTTGGAGACAAGTATTTGTAATCTGCCTAGTAATTAATAATTTTGGAGTGCTAAGATGTTTTGTCAACCGAGAACTGTGATCGTATTCTTTGGTTTTGTCTCCTTAAACTCTTCATCTCGGTTTCCATTTTAACTTATCCAACCCCTCAACTCTCAGAAGTCTTAGTTTTCATCTCTGTCATGATTAATATTCTAGGGTGCCCTTTCTTCATTTGACGGTGTTGCCCGAGTTTGGGCTAGGCAGGCAGAGAAAGGACACGAAGAAGACGATTTTGGACACGAAGACCTAGTGACAAGTGGCGACACTGTTGAACGAACCGTCTTCACAAGTCCCGTAGAGGGGTGTTACAAAATCCTAGCGGTGGACGATCAAGGCAACACAGTCTCCACACCAGATGGGACTACATTAGTTAATGTGATTTTGCAAAAATCTGGCGAGGAATTTTTTGTAAGTTGGTTTTGTAAATATTATTCCGTCGGTTATATTTACTGTAATGATTCAACCGCCGTGATTTTAGGGTGCAACCGTCCGAACTGAAGGTTCAGCCATCGTTATTGGGCGAATTGTCAGCGGTGGATTGATTGAACGCACAGGTGCGTTCTAAATATGAAATTTCACAGTCTACTCTCATTTGTGTGATTTTAAATTGTTCTTTTTCTTCCAGGTCTACTGAATGAAGGAGACGAATTGCTTTCAGTCAACGGGGTGGATTTAATGGGCAAGGATGTAGACCATGTTTCGCATATTCTGGTACACAAATTTGATTTAGTTTGCACATCCCTAAAAGGGAGTATGCTGTGAACTGAAATTCATGCAACATACGCAGGAGTATATGTGATAATCATGGGACTAAATGAGAATTTTAAAATCACTTATAAATCAAAAAGTAAAAGTGCGATTTCAATTTTAGTTTAGTTAGATGCAATATCGGCTGTGAAACCAATTTTCCATATCACATTTGAACCAGAATTAAGAACAGGTGACCCAGTACCATGTAATTTGATCGATTATCATTTTTAAAACACAACCTTAGTGTATTCGCATTATAGCGGTTTGGTTTTCCAGTATCTTGTGCTTCCAAAGCTAGTTAATGAAACGGTCACATAAATTCATCGACGAATGTACTTTATCTACCTCCTTTGACTGCGCCTTTCTCATTGATTGTTTGTATGCTTTGACTTAGGAGCAAAAACATTACTTGGGTGACGGTTCTAACCATCGATAAGGTAATTAACTCATGTAAAACCGCAGTTTGAACTAGACGACGATCGCAGGGTATTGATAGAGAATTTCAGTTACTCAATCACTATCTACTTCATATAACTTAGATTAGTCAAATGTTCTCGTATTTATGGTGGACATTTGGTGTGTATCCCTAATGAGTGCTTAATGGCTTTAGTCGATCTTGATGTGATGTAACTACAAGGACAGCAAGTCCAAAAGGCGACATACGAAGTTGTACGTGGCTCAGTGTCACGTTCATTAAATTTTTGATGTGAGTACTTTTGCTTCAGACCGAAAAATATTTCGGGTTTTTCTTTTCGTTTGATCAACTTAAACTGGTTTGTAACGCAATTAAAATGCCGAAGCAGTGCTTTATCGTCATTTTGTTTCGGCGTTTTTCAAATTTGTCGTCCTCAGAAAATCTCGGACCTGGTGGGTTAGTAAGGCACAAAATGCCTGGCGATATTCTTCCTTGTTTTCTTGGCAAGTTTCGCAACTTGTAGTTGTTGGGTGTCTTCGCTTGTAGGCGAAACCGCAGTTCAAGCAGCAGGTGTTTAAAACTTATATTTTCTTTGAATGGTGTCTCGATTTACTCTGTATATTGCTTTTGTTACCTGATCTGAAACCTGGCTTCGTTAGATTTATGAGTCTTACACTGATTGCAAATATAGTCTCATTCACCACCACCGCTTCGCCAATTTACCATCCTTAAGCCTCTAGCACAAATTCGTTTCATTAGATATTGTGGAAGCCATAAAACTGAATACTTCCAAGTTTTTAACGCCGTTCTGTTAATTTTATTCCATTACTCTGGACTCATATTTGTAGATTTTCTTCTGGCCTTATATGAACCTGTTTAAGAAGTTCACGATGTATATTTAATTGAACTTTAGTATATTCTACGTAATAACTTTTTTGTTGTGGATAAAATCCTTCAGCAGTTCCTAATTTAAACGATACATTTTGGTTGCCCTATATTTCAAGTTACAAAACGGGCCTTTCGTTATCGCTAAGATTCCTTCTCCAACTTTTCAGATTTCCTTCGTGCCGCTTAGGTAAACTTGAGGTGTAAAACTTTGTTGAGTTGTTGGATTCTCTTTTGCATGCTATTTTGTTGCTCTTGTGACCCGCTATCTGTTCCCGCATGCATTTCCCTGTCCTTGTCTGTGGTATGCTTGCGCAGTGCTAGTTAGTGTGAATTTCATCAGTAATGGAAAATATATCTCCGCTTCTTCCTATCTCGACGTGCTAGTTAGGTCTTCAAGTTCCTGAAATTCGTCTGTAGATGAAAAATACAGTGGTGCAATCGAAGTAAATAATGTATGCCCTCATGTCCTGCAATAATTTTTATGAAAGAGGTAACAAGGTAGGAACATCCCCTTCTTTGAGGGTCGATAACGCAGAAAGCACCGTAGATGCCGCTCCTATATTTGTTAAGGACACATTAGAGGAACGCCTTGAAGCTTCGTTGGGAAAACTAACAGTTAAAATGAGTTCAGTCGTATCCGAACCCTCCAAAAATGTAGAATAGCGGGAATAAATTCTCTTTTTAGACGTAACTGCAACTTTATGTTGTCACGGTTTCAGACTTATCCAAATGGCGAAAAGACGATTTTTTTCCAGAAAGTAAATTAGTTGCAACACGATTATGCACTGAGTATCAAGTGTTCTTTTGGTTTCATTGACGTAATTTGATCCGTTAGGAGTTAATGTAAGCGGATTGGGGCCGTCGGCAGACTGTTACTTGAACATTATCAGGCTGAATGGATGGTCTGGAACTGAGTTAACCTATTTGGGTGGGCAGACAAGAGTCTCTACATCTAAATAAAATAGGTGTGCTTCTGCCTTCAATTTTGCCAACATCCACATGTGCCTGACCTTCCTTCCTCTGGGCTTCTTGCCGACCTGCCTTTTTCAGTTTGTTACAATTATACTGATCGATTGTGTAAAACTTCTCTTGTGTGTGGAAGTTTACCGACTTGTAATGAACAATAATTACATTACAGACCCACTTTGACGGACAAATCGACCTACTTGTTGCACCGGTTCTGCCCATCACCGAGTCGCCACTAATTCAAGAAGAAACGGTAGTAAGTCAATTACTCTGTATGTCAAGCAAAACCTGCATTTTTGATTGCATTAAAACATCGCCTACAAATCTCTGTAAATTCGGGCTTTTACTGCTGATATTAGGCAAAAAAGGAGTGTTGTGTTTTGAAACTAGCCTGTCGTCTCCCTGACAACGTTATCGGTAGAGTGGGGGTAAACGGTTAATTTTATAGTGAGACAAAATAATCAGATATTGTTTTAGAAAAACAGATTGCCGTCATGTTCCCATTTACCTTGAAATACCACAGAGCAGGTATCAGTATTCTCCCGATTTTATTGGGACGTCTCAGGCGTGTGCGCAAGTTGCCTTTGAACCCATGCAAAGCCCGTCTTTGCTTGTCTGTAACTCTGAACAAACTAGTCATATTCATTGTGTGTATTTTTCCGCTATCAGCCCTGGGCTTTTGTAATAGGATTCGAAGTTTCAAATGTAGAACACGGTGTACGACCTGGGCCCTTTTAAGGATAGTATTCGTATTTGGTGCTGCCTCACTTCCTATACCATAGGCCCATTTACGCGCGCTCTTCAGCTACGAGCCAAGCAACGATGTCTACAATCCCTGTCCCGAAGCGAGCGTTGCCTTCGACAAGGGCGATATCTTGCGTATCCTTAACACCCGCGATCCGAACTGGTGGCAGGCTCTTCGGTAGGGCACCTCTCTCGTTCCAATGCTTTATTGTCCTTCGTTTTAAACTTAGTATTTTGGTTTCTTGACCATTTTAGACGCATTTTTCTTGTTTTCGTGCCACGACTAGTTTATACTACGCTCACGTGGTGGTCAAGTTGACTGGAGATACTAAATTTATGCTGTACTCTTTTTTCACCCTCTGTGATGTCTAATGATCTTCGTGCCGAACGTTCTACGAAAGTATTTATATCCATGCTCCAGCCCTCCAGCCCTCCTATTATGTAATAATGATCAAATCCTGCCATAACATTCTGTACATGGAGTTCTGGAATGTACACAAATTTAAGGGTCTGGCGCACCTGCTTGTTACTTTTTATTGATGCCGCGTCACTGTGTTTTGGATCGAAGGTCCTATATGAACTCCTCAAAGTCATTAATCGGCTGACAATGTTCCTCAATTCATTTTGGCTATTTTTATTGTTGAATTCTGCCATTTAAATGGCTTGATTGTGTAAGAACGCATGAAAAGTCCTATATTAATAATCAAATCCCAACTATCCTTGCATTTCACCAATTTTAGCATTCTAAGTAAAAACCTGACTCATCGGTTATTTGACTCCTAACGGAACGACCATAAGTACACGGCTATTATATTTTCAATGAAGTGACTGGTCGGACTACCTGGCGTTTTGATTCATCAGTACTGGTAAAACACTGCCGAAGTAATCGCGACTTGAAAATAGAGTGAAACATTTGTGCATGGATTGTGTCCCGTGCTGTAGCTGTTCAACTTCATGTTTGTAATTTTGCCCTTCTTCATATTGGCTCTGGTTCAAAGTTATTTTTTCTTCGAAGTATTGAGGAAACCGGAGCAGTGGGTGTCTCGGGTTCGATGGCAGGTCTAGTTCCATCCCCCTACTTCCAGCGTTATCGATCCCTCATTCGCCTGAAAAGGGCTAATGGTTATACGGAGGATGCTGTTGCTGGATACTCCGAGTCAGAAGATTCAGATTTTGAATTGGATTCGCCTTCTACTGACGCCTCGGGATCTCTCGCGTCCACCAGGCTCAGCACAAGCACCCAAAGTCTTTGGGTTTCCCCAACTTCTGTCAGTACGCTTGACAGCGGTGAGCAGAGCATTGATGTGGATGATAAAAGTAAATTCGATATTTTTTCTAACTATAGAGGCACTCAGCGGAGTGTCTGGTGTAGTGAACAGGCCGTGATAAAATATGCACATCCACCAAGATGAGGTGTAGTTGTTCCTGAAACCAGATAAGCGATCTCCCTCCCACGACGTTTTGATGGAATCATAAGGTGAAATACGGCAATTATTGTGTTTGTTGCTGCAGCACACTATGCGCCACCAGTCTTCCAGGCTATGACGTAAACTCAATGCACTACTCTTGTCAACTGTTTCAGTAAAGACAAAGTGACCGGCAGATTTCGTATAATCTGCGTCCGTCTTATCCTATTTCCCAGACTGATTTCGTTCATTATCTGTTTCTTAAACTGGTCCAACTGCTTGCGAATAGCCTGCGTCTTGCCGCTTTTGTATAGCGTTCCGGTTTTTCGTCTAGCCGCATACCGTTTCGATTAGCGAGTTTTTTTTGCTGCAAAAAGTCGCAGGCAAACATGTTTGAGTTGTGGTCAGTATGCTGTTTTATTAAAGTGGTCGAACGTACTTGAAAGGAATTTTCACATTGCATTCCTAAGTACATATGCACACTCGCCTTCCTAAAACCCGTTTGTTTCGAGGCCTTCACATTGGGGCACAACTGTGCTGTATATCGTGGACCATTGTATGCTCTTGTTGTGATTGCAGGCACAGAACCATTGTGGAGCGCTCACGGCGTCGGGCCGAAACAACTCAAGAAGCAGAGACAAAAGAAGTCCCGTAAGGCACGACTTCTGAGCATCTTATCCGGAAGCACCAGTCGAAAACTTGGCGGTGTCAACAAACGAACCAATGAATATGAAATTTGCATGGGTAGGTCACCATGTCCTGTGTTTATCCAAAACAATATTCTGAGGGCATCGTAATTTACGTAATATTTTATATTTGGTTGTTCATCACCTCTCTACCTACAAAAATGCCACCAACTCACCCAATCATTGGTGCAACTTTTTTATATTAATACTGGGTGTATGTCGACTGTCACGGCGTAATTCGCATTGAAGACGTTTATTAACTCATCTTGAACGCTCTCGAGGCCAGTGACAAAAATGTATTTGGTGACTGTTTTTCCGGTATTTCGACTGAATGGTTGCATTGAAATGTCTATGCTCTCAGTAGAAGTTAACTGTCTTCCCGTTATTCAAAGATGCCTCCACTCCTTTGCAGCGAAGAGTGCGGTCACCTGTTTGCCTGGCGATGATAGGCGTGGTCAACACACAGCTCACTCCAACTCGCACCTCCTGCTGCCTCGCTAAGCACAGCGAGCTCATATCCGTCAAATGCAGCTGGTGCTTTTTTTCTGTCATGATTGGTTTTAACCATAACTGCCCCTACCATTGTCTGTTAGAAATGAACAGTCTGAGGCAAGCTGATGGAGACCAATTGCGCCAACTGGTAGACGAGTCGGTGAGAGACAAGATCCGCCGCCCAAGTCTGCTTACCTACGAACTCGTCGATCTGTACTACCCCCAACCTCAGCGCAGACGACCCCTTGTGTTTGTTGGGCCAAAACACGTCGGCAGGCAACTGCTTATCGAAGGCCTCATACGCGGAGATCCGAAACGCTTCGCTATGCCCGACATACGTGAGTAGTAGTCTGGCACGCGTTAAGTCTTGCGCCGCAATGTCTTCAACAAAATGCGACACATTTTTAATGCGTACCTAACAGGGCGGTCGTTTTAACTATGAAAGTACAAAAGGCCCTGTTTAGCGGAATCAGTATTTAATGGGTACATTGTCTATTTTTACTTGTTAGGTCATTTCGATTTTCAAAGCCAAATGCCATATTTTTATCTCGGCAACGTAAAAGAATATTATGGCTGGGATCGTTTGCACACCATTGCTTTAAAATCAGGCAAATTGCAGTAGGTAACAAATATGGAGATGGTTGACAGTAAAATTCTGTTAGCGTTCTTGTATTAGTCTACTTTAAGCATGGAAAGCCGACACCAGAATAGCACGGAGCTTCGTGCAAAGCCTTTGGGCAGGGCGTCGTCATCGGCCGAGGCCAGCTCCAGAACTGTATTGGACTTCTTCGAGATAAAAACCCATTTGTAGAAGGCGAACCGCACACAATTTCTTCCATGCCCTATTTTCTCTCTACTACTACCTATAGAGGTTGCTGGTAGAGGTGATAGTGATTTGAAAATTGTGTTCGTTGAAGCAAATAGATGTGGAAACTAGGTATCGTAACAAATTCCCTCGGCCAACATAGTTTACTTATGTAAGTACAGTGCACTTTTGTGGATGTTCAGCAGCCCCAATGATTTGAAACCGGAAATTCCGGGTGTTTTGAGTTCCACCTTATCGGCTTCGCCGGTGTTGCACTTTGCCTAACCCTAACCCTTTAACAATGGGAAATTACTGAAGTTGGGACTTCGTTTTACTAATGCCTTCGTGGAAAGTGTTGTGCAGCAGTGTCGGGATGTACAGTTCCTCCTGCTCAATTATTTGCGGGTTAATTGTAAAGTTCGTACGCTTCAACTTTCACGCGAAGTCCTGACGTTCATAGTTTGTAATGGAGCTTTATTTAATACCAAGGACAATTCGTGAGGGTTGTCGGGTGTTTATTCGGTTTAGCCGAAAGTTGTTCAAGTTTTGTCCCTCGTTACACAGATCTAGGCTTTTCCAGGCCAGGCCACGTCCGTAAAGCCTCTTGTTAATTTGGTTGAATGCTGTGCACTGAATGTAATTGAGTAGGCCTGGTTTATAAAAGTCAGGAAACTGATGCACAGTAGCACTGTTTTACTTGTTGCACGATTTAAATAATTGACGTTTGATAAAATCTTGTTTGTGTGCTAAACTCACAATTTGCTTGTCGCGTTTGAACCTCCTAGATACAACGAATCCAGATGCAAAGTCCACAGAATTCCAGCACTACGAAATCATCAGCAAACAGGAATTCCAGCGAATGCATCGCGAGAAGTTGTTTGTTGAATGGGGGGTCTACAACCACCACTACTATGGCACCAAAGTTTCAAGTATCGAAGTTATAGTGAAGGCGGGCAAGGTTTGCGTTATCGCTCTGCGTCCGGATGTAAGTTTTTTTTACTTTGAGAAAATCAAAGAGTTCGTATTGTGTAGACACGATTCGACCTGGGTGATAAAGTGATCATGCGTTTGATGTCGTTTTCGAAAAACTGAGACATTGTTTGTGTATTCGGTTTGAAAGCTGTGCCAAGTTGATTTGGATGACGTTTCCAGTGGTACGTGCTTTACACACCACTTCGATCCTCACGCACAAATCCGCCCATTCAATTGCTTTAGTGGGATGTGAGGTGCGTTCGGGGAGTGCAGCGCTGCAGTTGATAAAAAATCGTCGTACTAAGCTGGTGTTTTAAGACACGCGGTTCAAATGTCCCTTTTAATGAGCTGGATTAGTTTGGTGGACTTCGATCTCGTTAGCACGCCTTGATACTTCCCTGATGCAGGCTAGAGTCAAAGCCTAGAAACAAGATTTATGGGAAATGGAGCAATATTTGTTGTTTTCATTTGACGAATTGGTAAAGGCACAGCTTTGTTTCCATTGATAATAAATAGGTTCGTACGTTTTTAGTCTGTGGTTATTCTTCTAGGTTATTTTGAAGCCAAGTTCTGTCCTCAAACACGCAATTTCATGTTAAATATATTTTAGCAGTGCAAATTTATGTTGTGATTCCAGGACAATATTGAGTGGTCCAAAACACTCTTGATGCCCGTTCAAATGTGTTGATTGCTTTCGGCTTCAAGTATGAGTAAATAAAATGACCATTTCAGTGTCGGCATGCGACGTAGTTTGTACAAGACTAATGACTTCAATGAGTGCAGGGTCATCTCTAAGATAAGCCATTGTGTAGCTATGTTTAATTAATCAAGGCCGTTTCTGCATTCCTTGACAATTGTATAATCGAACTAATCACTCACAGTAACGCTTAGTTTCAACCACGTGGAGCGTTGCTCCCTCCTCCTCCTCCCCCCCATTGTGCGCATTTGAAACCGCAGTAGATGATGGCTCCTCTTATATTCCTTCACATTCACACGATTCTCCACGAACCTGATCACGCAAGTTGCGGGGCTATCTGCTGGTTTAATCAAGGTATTCTATTCGGTAACATTGTCTCATCTATAAAGTGACCTGACGGGGATTACGAAATTTATCAACATTTTCCCCTGCTTCAACGGCCCTTACCCTTCTATTATGACTGCGTCTTATTGCCTTAAGACGGTAGCATCAAATTGACAGCCGTCATGCATTTTCATACTGCGCGCACCTTCCATGCTTTTTTTTTGGTGAGAGTCGCACAGCTTGTAAGTGGTCTTAAGTGCCCATTGATGTCCGGCCATTTTCAAGCAAAGCATTGGTTTTCTGCCAAGTTTCGCCAATTTCCCATAAACAGCAATCAAGTTGATATTTCCTGCTAAAATATTAGCCACAAAAGCATCATTCATTTTGAAAAACACTAGTTTGGCATTTATTTAGTCACAGATGCAGACACTTCTACTGCCCTATTTCCCTACCTCAGCCTAAATCATCGCATCTGAGGTTAATCAAATGCCTTTTGGGGTAACTAATTGGCTTATGTAAATATTTTTCATCTTCTTTTCAATTTTTATAACAGTTTAAAATTTTACTCTCCTTCATACTTATTCTTCGCTGGTCTAAATTTCATGATTTGCTACGTATCTTAGAACAGTTAAAATGTACTCAAATCCCAGAATTGATTGATTCCGTGTAGCAAAAAAATAACAACCCTTATTAAACGGTGCATTGGCTTTTCGTAAACTGGTCATTGTCATACATTTAAGCCAGACTACTTTTTTCATTTTACATAAATTAAATCTTGACCACACGTCAACTTAGTACTGATATTGTTTTTGTCTGAAATAATCGTGTAAAGGCTATTTAATGACAACATTTTGGCAGATGAGGAATTCACACAACGGTTCTGCGGGCGTATGATTTAGTGTCCCCCCAGCCGGCAGTTACAAAGATCAGCTTCATCCCTGTTAGTTCCGCTTAGTTTGGCCTTGGGCTTGGCAACATGAGTGTATTTAGCTGGTGGTTTTTCCTTGGGGCTGTCAACGGACAATGAAGAATTGGCGTTTGCCAGTGATACAACTAAGCATATTAATTTGCCATTATTCAATGTGTCTGCAGTAGGTTCAGCCGCTTTAACCTGACGCTGGCTATTTTGACCCCGGGATGTCTAACTGGTAAACACAAAGGTATCTTTTTTGTTTTAGTCGATTCGAGCAATTCGTAGGACACCGTTTTTGCCTTGCGTCATTTTCGTGTCACCTCCGGACAACCTTGGAGACTTGCACAAGCTTCGCAATAATTTGGGACAATCCTCTGATATTTCCGTGAGACTAACTGCATTCAGTTGACTGTCCGATTTTTTCGCCGACTTTTTTTTAAATACCTCAATGTCGAAATCTGTTAATGTACTCCGCCATCGGAATTACAGTCACTTGTGTAATTAGAGCTTCAGATCAGATTAATTTAGTGTAAAAAACTTAAACTAAGAGGAAATTGGCGTTTGCGGTCCGAAACACCAACGTGACTGCGACTTTCCCTTTATAGGACGAAGAACTTAAGGTCTGTATTGATGAGAGCCAGAAAATGGAAGAACACTACGGGCACTTTTTTGAGTTCTTAATTGTCCCTCAGACACAGGAAACTGCAATAGCAGAGTTAAAGAGAATCGCTCTTGATCTTGAAAGGAAGCCGCAATGGGTTCCCGCGCAGTGGATCGACGTCGCCTGGCAAGTGGCTGCACAGGCGATGCGGGAGGCCGGCCATCACACCTCCTCGGAAGATGTTCTTGTCGATTCCTCAAAATACTAGCCCTCCTCCCTTCCTTACTTAGTAATTTTGGATTCGTACTTCTTATATTTCTCTGCTATTGATTTCCAATGAATTCTGTCCCTCCGCTTAGATTTAGCAACTACTCCAAGCTAAAATTTCGGATTAATTTATCTCAGCTTGCCCCTTGTGAGATCCCAGTCGCGTTGAAAGCATTACAGCTTGTGTTTTATGCATGTTAGTTGTGATTTGGTAGCGTCTAGCATATATTAAATGCTCATCGCATGTTTCCAGTTTGGTCTGTCTACTTATATCATGTTTCTGATTCTTTCTCCAATTGGCCTGTCATTTAGTTTCGTCCTGTTGGAAAACAGTTTTCAAACAAATGATTAACCACGCTATCACCGCTTTGACTATCAAACGACTACACCCATAGATTTTCCGGACTGTAATTTCAGATTTTGTTTGTGCTATGGAATAACAATTTCACGGTATTTAAACGCCATCAGACCCACTGTTGTGGTTGCCATTGGTCATAGTCGAGGCATTTTGGGTTTGACGTGGATGCGCTCTCAGTCGACGTTCGCGGAACCCCAAGCTCAGTGCATTCACATTTTTGTCATACTGTCCATCCGCCGTCCCTGCTTCGTTTGCCTCGATTCTACAGTCCTGAGATAGCTAGGACTTGGAAAGGTAAAGCCACTAGGGCTGAGTGGAATGTTTGCATTTTTGTGGACCCCGGTATCACACCCGTCGCCGACGGCGTGCATATTAAAAATTTGGGGGTAAGCATAGGCGAGCTAACGCAAACATAAATGGCCACTTGATTGATCACCACTAGCATGGAGTTGGTGTGTCGCGAAACAGGGTTATCGGCTGCGCACGTATTCAGCATTAATTGATCAGGCGTAAAATCATACTTCGAGTGGGCGGGATTCACGAATCTCCTTTGGGATTTCGAGATTAGACAATCGATTCGATCGATTTCTGAAAATAGATTGGAGGCGTGCGAAATCAACT